CCAAGGACAAGGCGATATGCTGCGCTGGCATGTCTGAAGATAGTAAGCGGCGGTGTCATAGCAACTAAACCTTCCTCGTTCGCATGTTCTTCTACTCATCCTTGCTTGCAGAGTTGGCGGCGAATCTGCTGGCATCTAAAAAGATGTGCAGCATGCCAAAGGACCGCGGTAACTGCACCAAGTTCGAGCTGCGTTTCTATTACGAGTCATCCACTCGAGAGTGCAAGCACTTCTTCTACGGTGGTTGTGGCGGCAACGCTAACAACTTCAAAGAGTTGCTGCATTGCCAACGTTACTGCATGGTCGATGCTGATAAGACGTCCCCTTCATCGACCACCGAGATGCCGTCTACCACCATCAGAACCAAGACGCCGTTGATCGGTCGTCCTTCGTCGCCCAGACAACAGATCTCATCGAAAACAATGCAGAAGCCACAACATCAGCTTGATGCTGACGTCTGCAAACACCCGCAAGACCCTGGAACCTGTAATGAACGTTTCATTCGATGGTCAGTCATTTCGAGACATGGTCTGAAAATATACACAGTTACATTCCGTTCGATTTCACTTTTAGGTACTGGAACTCTTCGCTTAAAGCTTGCGAAGTTTTCACATATTCCGGATGCAAGGGCAACGGCAACAACTTCGGTTCCAGGGAAGATTGCCAACAGAAATGCGGTAAGTGACATGTTAGGAGATAAACCCTCAAATGATGCCGTTTTTTGACAAAAACGTAAAACCTTTTAAAGCCGGAAACTTGTCATCAAATCATGACTGCGTGAATTGGAAAAGGGTGCAAAGGGGGATTTATCTTTGCTGGATCTGCCCTTTGATATAGGAACATACGGTGGCCCGCAATTAACTTTAAACTATTCCGAAGGAACTTAAGTTCTCATAAATTTTTATTCCTTCTGAAAAAATAGTTCCTGGGACGTTCGTACACATAAGTATAACTTTTTAGCACAAAGCACCACTGAAGGCTCATATACTGTGACCTCCCCGTCGACACGGCTGCCAACATGTTCTTCGCCTCCGCTGAATTGTTCCGCGTCTTGCGCGATGGTCGTTGATCAAGACAGCTGCCCATCGTGTCGCTGCGACAAAACGGACACCACCAAAGCGATGGTCACTCTTCTGACCACAGGGCTTGCAAGAAAACACATAACTCAGGAAACAGCCGTAGCCACCTCACCAGCCATGAAGACGGCAATCACAAACGCGCTCGAAAATTTTCACAGAGAACCAGTTTCGAAAAACGGTATGCATAGCTTGTTTATGAACTACAAGTGTTGTTCAGCATATAGTATATAGTGTATCACCTAGTGTATCATGCATAAGTGCATAACTGTAGGCGAAAGTATTTTGCATCATAAACTGGCCATTTGGTGTTTGGTCATATATGA